CCTTTTTAGAACATTTGTTTCCATGTGGCAAGCTTCTGCTTTTCTGGAGAGCATCAGAGATTTTTATTGCCTTCCTTGAGGCTCCATGACATGACTAAATAAACCCAACACAATCCTCTTCTGCACTAGTAGTTAGGGTTTTCCAACCAGAACAGTTTTTATTGATCCCTAGAGGACCAGCTAACAGAGAACGACAATGAGTTGGAGAGCTAAGTAAGCTGCTAAAGTGATTAGAAAATTTTAGTATTCCTTTCACTTTCTTCCAATTTTATTTTTCACAGTGATTTTCAAATTGTACTTTATATAGTCTAGATTCAGACAAAAAAAGGCATTTACAAACCTTACAAAGTTAACTTAATTGTAAATGAACATTTGCTTTTCTGTGACTTGTGAATATTTGACATTTTTATAAGGATTATCCTTCATAATAAAGATACTCGTTGTGTGAACTCTTATGTGACGAATAAATCACATCAATATATATCAATCAAAACTATAATAAATGAACAAACACAATAGTAATGATAGACTCTAACATATTATTCCAAGTCTTTGATTAGTAAGCAAAGTAAAATAAGCAAAAAAAAAAAAAAAAAAAAAAGAGGATCTGAATAAAATAATCATAGGTATATAGTAGAATTGATAATTAAAAGCTGGCTGTTAAACAACCAAGAAAAAGTGAAGAGTATGTTTAAGAATATGTTTAACAAGTTAATATAATAATTTTGTTCTCCGTTTACAACTCTCAGAAGTCTTCCCATTGCTCTTAGATTAGAATCACAAATATTTCACAGGGTGTAATAGAGACACCCTGCACAATCTGGGCCCTCATGACCTCTTAAGCCTCATTTTTAGCACTTTCTTCCTTGACTGTCTCAAGTCCATCCATATTAGCCTTCATCTAAGTTTTACTTAAATGCATGAAGCTATTTCAAACTAAAAGCTCTTACACATAGGGTATATGGGGCTGTAGTGCCTGTAGTCCAGCTACTGGGGAGGCTGAGGCAGGAGGATCACTTGAGCCCAGGACTTTGAGGTTGCAGTGAACTAGGATGACACCACTGCACTCTACCAGGGTGACAGAGCAAGACCTTGTCTCAAAAAAAAATGCAGAGCAATGCCTGGAGCCATTGTGCTAATGGGGAGGGTCTCATGGCTTTATGTTTTTAGCACTTTTTGGTGGCAGATTCTCTTCTTTCTCTTCTACCCATTTGTGGAGCAGGATGACTTGCTCTCGCTCTTTGCTTTCACTCTTCCATAGCACTGGCTAGTGTAGAATTCATCAAAGACTTGAATTTTGACTCCTTAGGAAATAAGGAGTCTAATCCATCCATTGGCCCATTCCACATATTCTTGCTTGGTTACCTAAAGCTTAGATTAGACTGGGTCCTAAACCTGCGTAGGAATGCTGTGATTCTTTCCTGTTCTTATGTTATTATTTATTATTCTCTTTTATATATCTCCCTTGGAAACTTCATGAAAAAGATTCTCTATAGGGTTTGCTTGTTTCTAGGTTCCTTGGCCCTAATATCATTTAATATCAATACAAATTCACTCTAAGTTCTGATAAGCTATGTTGCCCAGGCTGGTCTTGGACTCCTGGCCTCAAGCCATCCTCTCACCTTGGCCTCCCAAAGTGCTAGGATTACAAGCATGAGCCATTGCTTCTGGCCACCCTTCCTTCCTTCTGTGTGACTATAACATATCTTTGCAAAGACAGTCATTCTGTTTCTATCAGGTTATGTGCCTACCATGTAAGGCTGTGACTGACACTATCCCAAGAACAATATAGTGGTCAAAAGCACTCAGTGTTTGCAACCAAGAGAAGATAGAAAATAAATCCCTTAGTGGTTTTTATAAGTTTTCAATAATATTTTAGAAAATTCTCTTTTCCCCTCTTCCTTTCTTTCATACACTGCAGCTGCTTCCGAATCTGTCTCTTCCCCAAACAGCAGAGAAACAACCAGAACTCTCTCCAGGGCAAGTTCTCCATTCCCTGTTTCCATCTCCATTTCCCATCACATCCCTGAAAGGACCTGAGAGGAGGGGAAGAGAGAAAGAAACCTCCGAATTTGTTTTAGAGGACAGACAAGAAAAATGTCCCCCCAAATCGGAATTATTATTTTCAATATACTATTTTCTCAAGCACATTTTCCTATATATTTATGAAACGTCTGTGCCTTATTTCTACCATAGCCTTATCTGTTTGTCAATTTGGGTGTTTCCTCCTTTTCTCATTGGGTTTTATAAATATGCCAATTTTAATCAGTTACATGCATTTTAAAAAGTAATTTTTCCCAAATTTTAATTCACATTTGTGAATTACCTATACATTTCATTCACCTATTTATTTACTTATATCTTAGTGATTTACATATTTATTTTAATTCTTTGTCAGTTATGTAATTGTAGATAGTTTGCCAGGTTTCTATTTTTCAGGACATGTATGATGATTTGTTCATAGAGAAGCATAAATTTTCAGGTTACCTTTTTCTTTCTTGTTAGTTGTCTTAGAGTATAGGTTTATATCCTAAGTTTTTAATAACACCTATGTTTCTTCTGGCACTTTTAAGGCACTTAAAAGAATTTGAAACTCCTTATTTACTTAGGGTTTATCTTAGTGCGTAGAACATAAACTAAATGATCTAACTTGAATTTCTCTCTTTGGTTTATCTTTACTATTAATAAATAAGGTAAATTAAGGAGCTATACTTTGGTTGCTAGGCACTTTAAAAAGCCTAAACAACCTAAGAAGTATCTTTTTAAAAGTATTTGATAATTTACATATACATTAATATGTAAATTAGTCTGGGCCCTTCTAGATGTTACTTAGGGAAAATAACTTATGTCTTCTCCCTCATTACCTCTCTGTTTTGGCGTCCTGCTTTCTAAAAAACATATTCTTATAACTTATTTAAAAATGGAAATGTAAACAATCTTAGAAAAGAGAGTAATGTTGAGATTAGAGACAGGTTGTCAAGAATTTTCTCCAACACTGGCAACAATTTGGTCTCACCCCTCCTAGGGAGAAGGCTCCACCAGAGATCCATCAGAATCCAGGGCAAGGAGTTCGAGACTAGCCAGCCTGAGCAAGAGTGAGACCCCATCTCTACCAAAGAAAAAAAAATTAGCCAGACGTGGTAGCACACATTTGCAATCCCAGCTACTTGGGAGGATCACTTGAACCCAGGAGTTAGAGGCTACAGTGAGCTCTGTTTGCACCATAGCACTCCAGCTTGGGCTACCTTGTATGAAAAAAAAAAAAGATGAAGAAGAAGGAAAAAAGCAAGGGAAGAAGGGAAGGGAAAAAAGGAAGAAGGAAGGAAGAAAGGGAGGGAGGAAGGAAGGACCAAAATGCTTTTGTTATCTCTGGGCAGATGTAGGATATCCAATGATTTTTGAAACATTTCTCTTCTGTATTTTAGACATCATATATTTATTTTTGTTATTCCCTCTTCAGAAAACATAGAAAATAGACATTTTACAAGTTAGACTATTTTTAAAATAGGCATTTTTGCCTTAATGTATTTTTAAAAAGTTATTTCTATAGAACATCAGAAATGTCTAAATAAAAGAGAATCACCTTACAGGTTTTTTAAAAAAAACAAATTTAATATTTTTATACAATTAATGTCTGTACTTAATCCATATGATTCATATGCTACTTATTTTAGCTTTAGAATATTGAAAAGAGAAATTACAGTTTGTATTTTAAAAAAATGAAAGGTGGCAAATCTTATTAAAACCTTTGGAATAAATGCAGTGTAGAAGGGACATCTTTTTATAGGCAAGTTTCAAAATATATCATTGAGTTCTTCCTTAATTTTTTTTTCTGAATCAGCACAAAACTTTTTCTCTATAATTAGATATCTTTCACCTTCTCTACAGAATTGTGATAGACTCCAAAAATGAAAAAAATGATAGTGCATGTGGGCCTCAGTCATGCTTACTCTAGTCCTGGGTGTTAAATGTCCATGCATGAATGCTTTTCAATGCATCCGTCTCTAACTCAGCCTCACAGCAAGTAGGATATGTAGGCCAGACAAACTGCCTAAGAAATAAAAATGAAACATAGGAAAGAAATGGAATGTGTAATAGGTACACAAATGTTATAAGGCATGGTAACTTTGGAAAATTTATCAGTTTTCCATGCAGGTGAGTTAAGACTATATCCAATCTATGGGCAATGATACCCTTTCCTTTCCTGATAAAAATCCCAACCTTCTCAGTGGTCAGACAAAAACATCAAATTTTAAAAATCAGAAACAAATTTTTGCATGAATTTTAACCACACACAGACTAGACTAGCAGAATTATGACTTTAAAATCTACAAGATTTCTGCCCATCTGTGCGGTTTCATGAATGCTTTGTGCAAGAAGGAGGTAGTGAAAGATCATTGACGGTTCCTACATGTGGTGGATGTCGAGGAGCACTGAAATAAAGATATTCGGTGGAGTCTGGAAAGCAGAATTGAAACTATGAAGAAAACATTACAAAACCTCTTAAACTTCAAGTTCATTTTGTAGATGTGGTGAAAATCATCTAATATCTGAGATAGTTCAGAAATTTTCAATGTTGTATTCTAAAATGTATATAGCACTCAATAATAGGTAAATGAATATATAGTTTTATGTTATGTTACTTAAAGTAACTCTATGAAAATATCCCTTGTTCCATATTTCAGATACTAGTGGGAGCTCTTAGAAAGACTATCCCACTTGGCAGTAGTCCATCCAATAGATGATCTGGGGCAGAATGCTCAAATCTTAGTTCTGTAGATGGGAAATGCCATATGCTAACTTCTCTTCTGGGTAATTCATGGTGCACATCTGATGTCAAAGGCTTTGAGAAGTCCTGCAGTAGAGACATCTTTTAAATTTATGTAATCCACTGTTTCCCAAAATTACTTAACTATGAAAATTTTTTCATATAAACCAAACTAGCATTTCCATCAATGTAAATTCAAAAAGCACTCTTTTTTTTTTTTTTTCATGTTTAACCAGAAATTTTATGCAGGGCATTTTACATGGAAGATATGTATTTCACCTTTATGGATGAAGAAGTAGTTAAACTCTTGGACAGGATCACAGAGTTAATAAGTAACAGTAGAGATTCAAATCCGGGTTTGTCTGGCTCCAAATACTGAAACTTTTTCATTGTGCTTCCCTCCCTGATATGATGCTTCTAGACTAGGACTTCTTTGCTTAATCCTATAGTAGGAGTGGTAGGTCTGCTACTGACAGCGCCAACACTTAACCGTGGAACTAGTCTTCCTTGGTTAGGTCCCTTTTTAATTAAGGACTTCAGCCTATAGTTTGGAGCTGTTAAGCAGTATCTGTCAGGTGGCAGTCTAGGTCCTGCATAAGGCTTAATCAGTGGCAGAGGGGTTTGATTTTTCTGCCTTGCAATATCCAGTAAAAAATCTCTTGGGGGAGGAGAGGTAAAAGATTGGTCAGCGCGACACTGGATTGCCAGTCTCACATCATCTGCATCAACATTAGGTTTCTTAGCATGGCTGGAATAAATTTTTGCATCATCCAGAATTGTAGTCACATATCGGAAAGCAAATTCCAACATTTGATTTATAACCCTTGGTTCGTACTCCGTGATTCCCATATCCTTCAGGATCTGTGCCATAACCAAGGCATCTCTCGGGGCGTTCTTGGGAGGCGCCATCTTGCCCGATTCCATGTTATCCAGCCTCTCGTCATCCGGGGAGAGCTCAAAAAGCACTCTTTAGGAAAATCAGATTAAGGGAAATACCCTCATCCCAATGTTAAATTGTCTTGACATTGAACTTCACATTAACTACATACCATCCTCAAAATACTTAAAAATGCCACACCGATCCAGGCTCCAGCAAACTACTGTGACCTCCAGCAGCCGGCCCAACCGAGAATTAGCGCACACAAAAACGCACGCTCTCAATGGTCAAGGTTCAAAATACACATCCTGTTCTCTTATCTATTAGAACCAAGAACATAATCAGAGACCCCAACATTATTCCTGGAAATATGTCATAAAGTGATGAAAATTATCAATCCCAAAGCTAATTTGTGGACACTAGAAACTGTTTGCAAATAGACTATCTTAAAAGAGAACCAGAAAACTGATTCTGTGACTCATGGAGTCATCGAACTAAATCAGGTGTCTATAGTCTATCACAAATGTTCCTTCCCAAGTTAAAAATGAATTTTTCATTTGTCTTGGTCTTAGTAGCACAATGTGGATACAATTCATTAAGTGAAATGTCATAGGATTAAATCATCTGAGAGAATACTTGAAGAAACAAAAAGCATGCAGTAACTTTTTTGAAGTTGGCAGATTTTCTAATGCCTACATGAGGAAGAAGGAAACTAAGAAACATTTCCCTAATAGCAATTTAAGTGTGAGAGTGAAAGGAAAAATAATAGCTAACTTTCTTCATCAAATATACTTCCCTTTATATCAATTGTTCATTTGCTTTATTTTTATTCTTTTTTTTTTTAATTTTTTTAATTTTGGGACTGTATCTGCTAAGATTGAACCAGAGAAATAAAACCAGTATGAGATATTTGTTGAGAGATTTATTGCAAGGAGTTGGCTTATGTGATCGTGGGGCTGGCTAGGCAAGACGGAAACAGGTAGGGCAGGTGTGAGAAAGGGCTGCCAGGCATGGGCTGACGCTACTGTGCACAGGTGGACTTTCTTCTCCATCAGGGAAGCCCGAATCTGCGTTTAAGCCCTTTCAAGTGACTGTATCAGATCCCACCCGTTGTCCAGCATTATCTAGAATAGTCTCCCTTACAGGAAGACAACTGATTACAGACTAGTTGCATCTTCAAACTACTTCACAGCAACACCAACATTAGTGTTTGGATAACTGGTAATTATAGCCTCGTCAAGTCGATACAGAAAACTGACCACCACAGCGTCATGTGAACGCATAGGTATAATATAGCTGGTGAGTTTCTGAAAACAATTCACACCTCTGAGCATGTATAGACTCTAGATATGTTTCTACCAATCACACACACACAAATCAAATTTCATAATAACATACCATAGTCTAAAACAAAGACAGGGTATTTATTAGGGTTAGGGTTAGCTTTATACAGTAACAACAACATAACATTGTTCTTAGAAAACACAGATGTTTATTTCTCTTTCACATAAAAGCCGACTGGAGCAGCCTACCCAGGGCCAGTATCATGGCTCTTGTGCCTCACCAGGGCTTTAGGGTCCGATTTTTCTCGTATCTTTCTGCTCCACTCTCAAGATCTCTTCCCAGCATCAAGGTTAGCTGACAGTCCAAGATAGCGTGAGCAGCTCCATTCTTCATTTCTGTTCTCCAAGCAACAGAAAGGGCAAAAGGGAGAAAAGGCTTTTTATCTCCCCTTTAATGACCTTCCTGAAAGCCTCACAGTTTGGCTTACACTTCACCGGCCAGAATTTGCTCACTGAGACACACAGAACTGTAAGGTAGGACAGGAAATGTAGTCTCCAGCTTCAGGGCACAGTGTGCTCAGCTGAAATTTGGAGTTCTGTTACCAAAAAGCAAAAGGAAAATGAATGTAGAAGTATGCAGCTATTAATAGTATCCTGTGCCTCACAGTGTGACTTTCAAGTCCTCAAGAATATTTGGCCTATTTTAGTTACACTAGGATGGTCTCTGTGCAACCGGTCCCTAAGGGTGGGTAGAGTGGGCATGCTAGGTACATTCGTCAGGTGTATTTGTGTTTTGTCACCAGCTCTTTCAAACTTTGCAACTTTTGCAACCTTTCTTTCTTTCTTTCTTTTTTAAACATATAAAGCCATTGTACCCAACACTTCAGACTTGACTTTGAAACTCTTATGTTAGAAAGGATTTCAGGATTTATAGCCAAACTCTTTGAAATTGACATCAAGTTAAGTTAGTTTGGCTCTGACTTCGTGCCAATTCTGGCAACTGGGCTTCTGTCTTGTTCCCAAGCATAGTCCCCACTTTATGTCCAGATTTGGCCAATGACACACTCTCTCTCTCTCTGTCTCTCTCTCTTTCTCTCTCTCTTTCTGTCTCTGTGTGTGTGTGTCTGTGTTCCTTTGAGTGTTTATGTCCCTCTCTTATGCATATTTTAGGCGTTAAGTTATCTAAATGAAGGAAAGGGAGGTGCTTACCTGCCTTTCACAAGCATGGCCTTAGCATTTGGCATCTTTCTGATGTTGTTGCTAAGGTGAATCATTTTTTTTTCCAGCTTTGATTTCTGAGAATTATTTGAAGGCCTACATTATACAATATTTTCCATATCCCGTTTTCATCATTTCCCAGAGTAAAATTTCTCTTTTTAAATTTTGACGTAAAATTAGTACTTGTGTTCAATAAAGGGAACTCAAGCATGAGAATAAAGAATACTTTGTAGTGAGCGGCAATGTTTTGGAGAGGAACATAATTTACTTCTTCTAGGTTATCAAAATGCAGTGTGGGGGAGGCAGATAGAGAACAATATCTGCTTCTATTTGTGTGAAGAAACGCCTTAGGTGTTCATTACTGATTTCTTTGGTTGAAGTTGAGGTGCCTTGACTGCGAGATAATGAGATTGAATACCTTTTGCTTATTGCAATAATTTGTAATCATGTACAAGGTTGCTGAGTAATAATTTTATTATTGCTGTTAGGAGATGAGTCCATTAGGAAACAGCAGTTGCCAACTGTTTATCCCTTAAAGCACCATGTGAAGAGAATTATAATACCAATCGCTGTTTTCCATGAGACATTGGTGTTTAATTGGTGATACCGGAGTACAATAACAACTAGCAGAGAACTGCATAAAGGTATATTTTTTCCCCAGGTGGTCATAAAGGGATCATTGTCTTCTTACAGTGTAAGCAGCACTTAGGCCTGCATGCTGTACTGTCTACGATTTTGAATATTTTCAATTCTTCCCTTTGTTTGGCCTACTCCTTCTCTGGTACCATCTCTGGAGAAAAACTCTCCAACTATTATATATTTCATTTTGTTTACAATGTGTAAGCAATTCTTAAACTTAGGCTTCCATTTTGGGATTGTATTGTTTAGCATACTGTTTTCTTCATTTGAAAAGTGGACCAGTGACTTTAGCTCAGACACAGAGAGAGCTGGAAAAAGCAGCATTCCCACCTCTACAACAAGAAAAATTCTGGACAAAATGCAAATTAATGATTTTTCTTAAATCCTTCAGAGCACCAAGTTAATAGAGCCAAGCATGAAAGGCTACATATTATGTGATCCCACTTTTTAAAAAGCAAAACTATAGGAATGGGAAACAGATGAGTAGTTTCCGGGGGGTGGGTCTGGGGAGGGGGTTGACTATAAAAAGGCTGCAGAGGCGGAATATTAGGAAGATAGAAGTAGGGCGACCAACTACTCATCTTAGATTTCCAAGACTGTTCCAATAATTTTTAGACTCAAAGTTCTGAATCCCTCAAATCCCTCTTTCTCCCAGGAAAATCAGGATTGTTGGTGACTCTTAATGGAAGTGCTCTATATGGTACTGGTAGTAGATATGTGACTCTCTGACTTTGTCACAATCCGTAGAACTGGACATCACCAAAGATGAGCTTTACTGCTTAAAAAAAATGTTAATCAACGAATACGTCATAGATCCGAGGACATAAACTGTGACAATTATTTAACTGTATTAAAAATGATATTTCTTGATAAGAAATTGGCACTTTGTCCCAAAAGCAGATAAGCTGAGTTTTGAGGAGCACATGGTAGGAATCTGCAAATATTTGCAGGGCCATCATGAGGAAAATGGATTGACCCATTTCAGGTCTAACAGCATGATGTAACTAATCCTCCTAGGTTTGTAAAATCAACAACCCAAACAACTGTGTTCTGTAGCCCTGCGTAATTTGACATAATTATCAATTATAATGAGATCTTACTTTCATCATTTGTATAATGAAGTTACAGCGACAATCTCTTTTGCAGTCATTTGTTGAGACTATGGGCTTTGGAATTGATCATATCTGCATTTAAATGCTGGCTCCAAAACTTTCTAGTTCTGTGACTTTGGTTAATTTATTCAACCTCTCAGTGCTTTTATTTATCTTCTCAGAATAAACATTTTAACAACACCTACCCTCCTTTGCTGGGATAAAAGTAAATGACATCTCATATATAAAGAATAACACAATGCAAGCCACATAATAAATATGGATAATATTTCTTATGTATTCTAACTGGGTTGCAAGCATTCTCATTTGATATGTCTAGTTTTTGGCCTTATTTAATACAGAAAGATATAAAAACTAAAATGTCAAAATTGACTTTTTCTTTAGTTTAAAAAAAATCAGAGTTGCAATTCTTGTAAATTTAACTTTATCACCTACATACAAGAATGGAGTTGACAAGAACATAGAAGAGTGTTTCAGGCAAGAAATAGTTATATAACAGAAAAACAGGTACCAAAAAACTGAGCAAGTTTTTTTTTTTTTTTTTGTCTGACCTTGGGTTAGGCTCTTTATGCCACAGAGTTTAGACACTTTTGCTGTATTAACCACATACCAGAATTAAAGGGACATTTTTTTTCTAATCGATGCCACAAATCTGTTGAAAGCCACCACAGACTGTACAATTAATGACTTGTTAAGACAGTAAGTGAGAAAGGCCAGACTTCTTGGTTTATTTCCACTCATTGACATATGTGTATATATTGCACTCTCTAGGGGCATGCACAGTTCTAGTTGCAGAATTTACAAAAATAAATATGCACAG